AAATGATGTGGTTTCATACTGCACTGGGGTGATGCCTCGTGCAAGAAAGGTTGCAGCCAAAGGTAAAGGGCTACAGTATACTCCAGTTCTGACATGCACCAGAAAATGGTAGAACTGAGTTTCTGTCAAAGAGGGAGGTGTGTTGAATGAGAATTGTCTTGGGATCCTATTAATCAACGAAGTTTAGACTCATGAGACTGGTTAGTGAAGTGATAAGCAAGATGTAGTTTTGGCCTCCTTGAATCTTTTTGAAGTGTTTTCATGTTTTGCTTTAGTGTAATCATTCAGAAGTATATGCACCAACAAAAATAAAACTCATTCTGTATGGTTTCCATTAGGAATGTGCGAAATGGCAAAAAATTCATATCACGATATACTTTATGATGGGTGGCGGTAAAGATATATATCACAATATATGAAACTTATAATACAAAATAAATAAATCACATACTAATGAGTGGAATGTATAAATATGTATAGGTTAAAAAATTTAACCTTAAAATCTCCTTTTTAGGGTAAACTTTAAAGTCTCCCTTAAAATTTAAATTCAAGGGAGACCTACCTGGTTCAATCAAAGACACAGACAGACACACACACACACACACACACACACACACACACACACACACACACACACATACAATACATACAATCGCTTTAATGTAATACATATCTGCATCGATTGGATGTTTTGTTTGGAATCACCTGCTTTGTTTTAAGATGGTAAAACAAATTACTTGTATTTATTCCTTTCTACACACTTTGCAGATTACTTTTTCTGCACTCCACATGTTTAATCTTTGCGCGCTCCAGCGGGGTGACAATCATCCCATTTGTGCTTTACAGTTTTTTTTTTTTTTTGAAAGACAGTCAGACTGTCACCCTTTCACACAGCGCTTCTCCACTGTAGACAGCATCGCTCTACGACCACAGGAGAAATGAGGTCCGTGAGCTTTTGTGCGTCCCACTGGAGCTCGCACTGACCACCTGCACTCACAGTCGCCTTGCTGCGTGACCGTGACATATGCCACACTCCTCCCGCTGCAGGCATTGAGGTCGCTCAGCAGCCGACTGGACAACGCACGTCACGTAAATATGTAAACAGTTTGGCGTTCATTTTCGCACACCCAAACCAGATCCAAATATTTAGTTTTTTGTTTTTGTTTGTTTGTTYTTGTTTTTTTTTTGCTCTTCATTTGCGCTCTCAGCCACGCTGCTTCCAGCTTCCTCTGTTTTGACTCCAGCTGGTTACGTCATCAAAAAGAATTACTGCGGTTGGCCGGTAGACTACAGATCTCTATCATAGGACAAATTTATATCGGTTACCGATACGGTCTACCGTAAATCGTTTATATTGCGCATTCCTAGTTTCCATAGTGTTATTTAAAAGTTTTTATTCTTTGTAAATCATCACTATCGCTATTGACATGTCAAAGATGACCATAAATTCAGTCAAACCCAGTGTGTTTGGGGGAAGCAGTAAAAGTGGCGAGGTTGCTATTGCTAAACCAGTTAACCTAGCTCAAGATCAAGCTAACCGAGCCTTGCCCTTTGATACTACGAATGTGACGGCTTCAGGTGTATCTGGTGAGGTAGCAAAGGAACAGGCTAAACTTTCAGCTCTTATTGTGGAGAAGACTGAAAGTCATGACAAGAAACTTGAAGAGATATGAACCACAATGAATTCACTTGAGAGGAAAATTGCTGACATTGTTAGCCGGATTGCTGAAGTGGAGGAACCGTCTGTGTTTTTTAGAGGACGAATGCAAGAAGCAAGAGGCAAAGCCTCTGGCTTCCATTGCCGAAGTTGAAATACTGAGGCAGAAGACTGAGGACATGCAAAGCAGAGAGTGTAGGAATAATTTGCATTTTCTGGGTTTTGCTGAATCAAGCAACTAGGCATCTCTGCAGACAAGTAGGTGTTTTCAAAAGAAGGTGGTTCTCAGAGGACACACCTGATTGGACAAGCACAAAAGGGGCGTTTCTCAAGGACACCTACTTGGACGAGCAAAGAAGGCGTTACTCAAGCACACCACCTGATTGGATGATCGTTGCTTAGGCCTTTCTTTATATTATTAGCTTACTTTTCTACCCAGCATCGGACTTTCATATTTATTATCATTAGATTTAGTTTCACAAACTTACTGTTGTTACCGAGGTAATTAGAAGACTTGGGAATATTAACAGTCAGCAAATTACGTTAGCCGCCGGTATTATATGTCTATATGAAGACATCGACAGTATCGGACCCGACGTCTTCATTCATTATTTCCGCTTCTCTTAACAAAGAGCTCCAGGTTACATTTCAAAATAAGAGCAACATCAGTCTGTAGTGTTTTTTTGTTTGTTTGTTTGTTTGTTTGTTTGTTTGTTTGTTTGTTTGTTTTGCCCTTTTTTGAGACATTTAGAAATAGGGAGAACTAATTGTTTTTAATTATACATTGCAATTTCATTTCAAAAAAACAAAAGCAGTTTTGGTTGCTCAAATTATTGTGAAAGTAGTTAAAGTCAAAAGTGAAAGAAAAAGCAAAAGAGAAGAACCAACTTTTTGAAAAACAGAGCAAATGCAACTAGCCAATCAGTGTTTATGTTTGAGAAATGCCTAATCTTGAGAAACACCTACTTTGAGTCTGCAGTGAACCCCTTCTTAAATCATGTGAAGGAAGCGACATGGTGGCATTTCTGAAAGCAACATTACCAGGACTCATCAATYTACTGGAAATTGATAAGGCGCACAGACTGGGTCCACTGTCTCAAAGTCGGGGCAACCAGCCCTCCCACCTGAGGCCCATCATTGCTTGATTTGAGAGATTTCAAGACCGTGAATGCATCGCCAAAGCAGCATGCAAAATGGGAAATCTGACTTGGAGAGAGCCCCGTATAATGGTATTTCCTGACTACTCAAAGCTTCTCAGCGACAAATGTAAAATGTTTGATGATTGTAAGAATGTATTGCATGAGAAACGTGTTTGCTTTTTCCTGAACTACCAAGCCATGCTTACTGTGATAACTTCACATGGCCTGTGTGCACTTTGAGGTTCATAAGAAGGCCCTGGCGTACATTCTCTCTATGGATTGACCGGCTAAGGTTTGGTTCTTGATCCATTTTTTGACTCATGTAAATGTGACCGAGGCATTAAGAGGGTGAGGTTACATTAACTTTTTTTTTCTTTTCTTTTTTTTGCTTGGTTTGAGCTCTGATAAACCTTGCAGTAAAATAAGTTAGGTATTTAATTCATAAATACACCTTTTTTGGAAGTCCTGGTTTCAAAAAGGAATATGTGTGATTGATGATTTATATGAGAAAAGCTCATTAAAATCCTTTGAAGCACTGTTTGTGGAATTCAAGTTACCTAGKCAAGATTTCTGGAAATATTTACAATTAAGACATTTATTGATTATGACTTTTGGCTCCTCCACTTTTGTTCCTGTAAGCTGTAGTAAATTGGAAGATATTAAAAAGGTGTTTGGTCATGGGCAGGAAGCCTCGGTTTATTATAAAATGTTGTTGACAGCCCTGGATCCCAATATTATGTTTCTCAAGAGATCCTGGGAAACAGATCTAAACCTTAGTTTTACAGTAGAGGAGTGGTATTCGATTCTTGGGCATGGGGAAAAAATGTCAAGGGAACTAAAAATGAGATGGGTGCAATTTAAGATTAAACACAGGATTCTGGACACCACAGACTGTACAGAGTTGGATACGCCAGATTGTTGGAAATATCAGAAGAGTAATGGTACACTGGTACATGTGCTTTAGGAGTGTCCAAAAATTCAAGAATGTTGGTCATCAGTTCACAAAATTTTAGAAAAAATAGTTGGCCAGAATATACCCTTTTGCAGTAGGCTCTACATTCTCGGAGATCCTTTATCACTGGGCCATCTGCTTTCCTCTCTTTTGTAATGGGTGTAGACAGCAGTAATGTTAGGAAGGAAGCTAATAGTGAAGGAGAGGAAGGGCCCATCTATTCCCTCTCTAAACCATTGGTATAGGTCCCTGGGTCAACTTGCTGTCCTAGAGAGACTCATAGATTACTGGATGGAGTAGAGGAATACAACAGAAAGTGGTCTCATTACTTTTCACATGGGTTAAATGGTATCCCCAGCTCAGACTTAATTTGACCATAATGAATCTACTGTAATGCTATAATTACCGAAGTGCATCTGGGTTAGAGGGCATTGTAATTTTGCCAGTTTCTGTGGGTCTTTGTTTCTGTGGGTCTTTGTTTCTGTGGGTCTTTGTGTGTGTGTGTGTGTGTGTGTGTGTGTGTGTGTGTGTGTGTGTGTGTG